ATAGCAACGCTTACGATCACAATGATCGCTCATGACCCAAACTTTAACCTGCTCTAGATTAAATTTGGCACAAATTCTCATACAGTAGGATGCAGTTGATAGCGTCAGTTAGTGATACTCTGGTAAGGAAGCAAATTTATCCTCATACTTCATCAGATTTGTCAACAGAGCAACTGCATAATGCACTGCAGAGTTTTTCTTGTGTTTCTGTGGTGTAAGACTTGAAACTGTGACATATTCTATACTAAACTAAGATCCAGCTCAATCCTATCCTCTTGTCAGAGGACGTTGCCCTCAGTTAGCCTCTCTGGGAAATCTGTATGTCAGCCAATCAGTGATGAGTGTCATCAGCCCTAACAGTCTGGCCATCAGGCTTTCCAGACCTGATTCAGACTGACGGTATCTGTCTGTCTTAGCAGAAATCAGACACTGAACAGCATGATGAGACTCAGCCAACTACTGTATATGTCTATAGCTAACCTTTAATACACCAACCCACTGCTCTGTTCTTCGTTAGCTTTGTTTGAAGCTATTTATTAGCTTAGTTCTTCTTAGACAGCAGATGTTTCGCCAAATGCATGTGAATTCAGAAGAGAAAAGCCTTGAAGGATGCATTTCCTTCTGTCGCATATTCATCATAACGCCTCACCAGCTAACACTTTGAAGATCTTTAGATGGATTTATCATGAATCCATTTCCTTATATCCATTCTCCTGTGCTCTCTATATTTTGGTATTCCATTGCATCAGACATTTTCTTGACACACTCAATTTTTCTTTCCTGAGATGTCAAGCGCTGGGAGCAACCTTGACATATTAGGACATTAAATCTGAATCAGCACCTGTCGCCACCCTAAAGTGCTTCCACATTTCTCTGTTTTCTCAAGCAGATCAAGGAAAATACAATTTCACCCATAGTGTCTGTCACTGTCACATTCATTCTCGCAGACATTTCCCTTCTCTCCCCTTTTGTTTTTTTTTAATATTCCACTCTTGTTTTATAGTAGTTTCCGTTTTTCTGCTGTTATTATTTCAGCTATTTGCCTTCTACCAATTGTCTTGTGTCTGCGGCAACTTGTTTAAGCCTTTGTACTGCATATCAAAAATGAATGTTTTCTCACAGTTATGCTGTTTGACATGAAGACTTGGACATGAAATAACATAAGGGTAATATTAATGACTATTTTGTGTCAGCGTGTGCCTTGATATCCTACTTTTCTGTTAATATTAAATTGCCAGGACTGAGGGCTACACTGAGTACCACAGATTAAACTTTTTTCATTTTCTCATTCAACTCTTCTCCCCTCTCCTGCTCCCTGTCTTCGTCCATATCTCTTCTCATCAGCTTCCTACTCTGTTTAAAAGTAATTATTCCTCATTAATCTACAATAGCTCTCTACTAGTCTATTAATCCAGAGGTCTTGGTGGTAGACAGTATAAAATGAGCTCTCCTATTAACTCAACATCATTATTCTCAGCATGTAAGGTGCTGAGACAGCTGACTTTACACTCTAACCCCTACCCAACCTCTATATTAGCTTTATAAGGCTACGTTCACACTGCAGGTCTTAATGCTCAATTCCGATATTTTGATCAAATCCGATCTTTTTGTCTGCTCGTTCACACTACAAATAAAATGCGACCGCAAACGCGCTCCAGTGTGAACGCTCAAAGCGGCCCGCATGCGCAAAAGAAGATGTCACACACAACACGCTCTGTTTAGACCCAGAGCAAACAATATTGTTTGACTGATGGCCCTTAATATAAAGACTTCGGACTTCACGTTTCCCAATTTTTGCTTTAAGTTATTACATAATAATGTAAATAACCTAATAATTATCCTTATTGCTGTTTTAGAGAGGAGCGGTGCTTCAAAGTATAGCTGCAGATTTCTGTCAGAATCTGCAGGTTATACAGTACAAATAAAATGTTAACATTTCTCCAACGTTGTCTTCCCAGCACTTTCACCGGATGGCCAGGAAGCGTTCGCGATGTCCTATCGGGTGCTTCTCCGGCGCTGATAATTGGCGTCTGTCTTGTGTCAGTGACGTAAAAGATGGATTTAATGCAACATGACCATTCACACAGCAGTCGCTTTCTGAAACATCGGATATGTATCGGATTCAGTACCAAATACGAAAGTGACCCAGATTGGATTTGAAAATATCAGATTTGTGCCGTTCACACTGTCATAGCATGATCGGATATGGGTCGCATAGGGTCAAAAAAATCGGATTTGATGCGCTTTCGCCTGCAGTGTGAATGTAGCCTAAGTGACATATCTTTGCCTCATGACTCCTCAGATTAGTTTTTTTGTTTTTAAGTTGCCTTTTCTTACTTTTTTGTTTTGGCACTAAAAATAGCCAAACTTTGAAGCACTTTTGTGATATTTTACTTATGATTCTATATGTATAGTTTCTATGGCCTGTTGTTAGACTTTCAGAATTTCAATAACTTCTTAAATAACTGCTTAGAGGTGCAGCCAGTTCAAATGCAGTACCCTAACCTAACTGGCTCAGGGTATCTGTGAATGTAAACCTAGGTGAAATATACCTGTTTATACTTCATAATTCATAAGAATGTCTTAATGTTTCATTGTGATTGGAGGATTTGTCAGTGCACTCCAGCTAGAGAGAGCTGTACTCCTTGGATCATTTGACGTGTGTTTATGTTAAATTAATAAACACATGTAATTTGAGCATTTGACAAAAATTAGTCCATACCTTTAATCTTTAACATCAGATGGAAGATATATGGAAAGAAAAAAGTTCATTGTAACAGATGCTGGGCAAAACAGGGTATTGAGGACAAAAAAGCTAGGGGACAAGGGACAGTCAAGGTCCATATGTTGAGTTGTATTTCTGGGCAGAATGCCCACCCCAGCTCTGGCCTTTCATTACACCCTGGCTAATGAAGCACTATAAATGTGTAATAAGGAGGTTTTGGAGGCCTCTGTGTTAAATGGAGAAGTAATACCCAGTACAGTAATAGAGTTGATGTATTCTCCTCTTATTGTGGAGAAGGTGATTATCCAAATGAAGCAGATTTTTTTTTATGATTTACATTATTTTTTGCTATGATTTGTGGTATGTAAACAGATAAGCTTCCCTCATTGGTGCTATATAAATATACCTGAATTGAACTGAATCAAAGTGCTCTTGGCAAAAAGTGTAGATGCATTGTAATGTCATTTTAAGGAGACAATTTTAGGTTTTTAAAGTTATCCTTATCAAATGTTCAGCAGCTAAGGGGATTTCTGCAGATCTCTAACAGAAGTACAGATCTCTTACAGATCTCTTACAGAAGAAGCATCAGTCTAAATGAGTTGCAAAATGTGTTGTGTCTTTATAGAAAGACACAACACAACACATTTTGCTAATGTGTTTATCAACAGAGCATAGGAAATCTTGTGGGACCGAGTTTTCACTCCTGCAGAAATACAAGAATAACATTCCAATTCTTATGCACTAGCATTCATTTCAGCTTCAATATCAAGAGTGACCAGATATATTTTCACCCAGCTCTAAAGGCTGGGTAACAACCTATCTCTTACCTGTCACATACAAAGCACTTGGAAATGTTACTGAATGCCTTCCTAGCAGTTGGATCTGCAGCATCTTTTGATTCTTTGTAAGTAGATTTTCATATGTTGACAGGCACAAATGGAATCTAGAGTCTTCCTTAAAGGAGGGCAATGAATGTGTGTGAACAAATGGTTTAAACAGATTCTCCGAGCACTGTTTATAAAGTGCTGATCATCATCCTTCTTGCTAATTAGGACTTAATGTGACTAGTTAATGTGGTTTTTGCACTTACACCCAAATTATCCACCCTCTGAGAGGACCTCTGCTCACCAGGCCTAGCAGGCCTTTACTCCATCTACAACTGGGTTTTTGTGATAAGCACAGAGCTCTGCTGCTAGCACAGCCATCAGCACGAGATCTGTTCATGTCCTCCAAGTGATCCAGGGTTAAATATGGCACACGGGCCAACGAGGAAGATGAAAACACTTGCCAGCTCACCACAGAGAAATAGCTCACCCCTGCTATGCCACTCCATTTTCTCCAGCTGTATCAGAGCACTCTGGGAGAGCTGATTGCTGAATGGCTTGGCAGAGCTTCGGGTGTATGTGTCTTACTGTGTGTGTGAGTGTCTGTCAGTGGTTGATGTCCCACTGCGCAAAGGAGTAAATCCTCTCATCCTTAACCAGGCTGACGTGCTAGCTCATCATTCTCTTTCATCAAGTCCTCTTCTTCAAGGCTCCCTCCTGTTGAACCCTCAACCTCCAGCTAAATGCTGTAGCATCTTTCTTCCTGTATGCTTTGCATTGTTTTTGAAGCCTAGAAAGTTGTCTGATGTACACTTGTTTTGTGTTCTGTTTACTCAAATCAGTGTCTTAAACCTTAATTTACCTTGTCTACATAATAAAGTAGAGGGGAAAATCTCCTGTATTAGTTTTGTTTATCTTTTCCTTCCTGACAGAAATTTAAGACATTAATTATCCATAAAAGAGTTAAGCCCCCTTAAGCTTTGTCAAGTTGAAACCTGCATCATTTGTCAAAACCTGTCACAAACAATCACTTTCACTGTGCTTTGTGGGTATGTCTGAGCGGGGCTGGAGAAATGATCCAGCTACTGTAACTATCACTCTTGACCGCACATAGCACTCCCTACCTCCTGCTAAAGCTGCCAGATTTAAGGATTGGTCAGGACTTCATCGCTAGCCCAAGGGTGTTTTTACACCACTGTGGCAATGACAGGTTTCCCAGCCGTTTCTGATTTGTCACTTGGCTCAGACCACAGACTGCAAAGTAGCGATATGGTGAACAGAACTGATACAATACCTTTAGGACAGTTTGAGAGAATAAGCAGCTGCTTTCCCAGGCATCTTTGCCTACCTCTCATGGGATTACTGCAAAAGGAAAACTATGAAAAAAATGCTCTTAAATGTTTCCAGACTAACTTGTACCTGTTCTTGTTTTTCGCCTGCAATTTTGTTAGGTCTTCTGACTATGGCACCACCTACACCAAACTCAACCTGATGCCAGGAACAACCATTGTGGTGACAAGTTTCTACATTTGCCCAACCAACAAGAAAAAGGTCGGTAGTTGCATGCATTTTTTCCCCCGGTTATGTTGTCCATTGTTAATAGTACGAGTTGGAGGTCTAAATGAACACCTGCACAGCCAGATTGTAAGAAATTGGAGAAATCTAGTGAAAAATGTGTCATTTGAAACAATTATTCATTTAAGATCCAGAGCTGTCAGATTAAGTTTTACTAAGAATCACTTAGGATCACGATAACGTATATATATAAATATAGTATATGTATGTTTGTGCAGTCACTCAGCAATCACTCAGCCATCCAAATTATTGAATAAATGTCACAGGTGTATAAAATCAAGCACCTAGGCTTGCAGACTGCTAGGTCTAGCAAGGCCCATAGGGACGTGTATGACTGAATTTGGAGTCAAGAACTTGAATGGCCTGCGCACAGTCCTGACTAACAGAACACCTTTGGGATGAATTAGACTCCGAGAGACTCCGAGCTAGGTCTTCTTGTCCAACATCAGTGTCTGACCTCACAACCTCACAATAGACTTCTGGGAGAATGGTCAAAAATCCCCATAAACACACACCTAAACCTTGTGGAAAGCCTTCCCAGAAGACCTCGTTCCATGTGACGGTAGACAAGCAAATATTTTTAGCAGTATAGTGTAATTTGTTGACATGGGTTTATTTTAATCCCAAAGATATTAAATGTGCTGGACACAAAATCACACAAATTAGTCTATAATGAAACTTTTTACATTTCCATCACTTTGAGAGTTTGCTCACAGAAACAACTTTTTGCTGTTCCTGTTGAAGCTGCATGCTTCTTATCAGCTTACACCTTGTTGAAAGACTAAATTCCCTGTTTATGGCTCCATATTTCTTATGTTGTGTGGTTTCAAAATGCAAGGTATATAAGTGGTGGATGAATTCACTGGCCTCTCTTTGCACTAAGTTAAGAAGCACTGACTGTAAAAGCATTCTTGAAGTTGTCTACTTTCACCATAAAATTACCTGTTTTGTGCCATTCTGTGTTAGCTAGCTTGTGAGCTTGCAGGTAGAGTTGAAGTGCTCATTTCGGTTTAGTTTGGTGTGTACACACGGTGTAGGTCACTGTGCAGAGTTTGACTAGTGATCTAATGTTTGGAATGAGATTCAGCACATCAGCATGAAGACACATAACTAGGAAACCAGTGGGTCATTTTAAAGAGCTCACTATTTTCTACTGTGGATCTAATTTTATGCAACAATCACTTTGTAAAATTTCTTTCCTCTTATTTTATAATCACCTGTAAGTAGTCAACGCCCTCAATAACAATGCCTCCATAACAATAGTTTCAAACCTCCTCTTGTATTATAATCAGCACACAAATTGTGCACTGGGAGCTTCATGGCTCGGGTTTCTGTGGCTGAGCAGCCCATGTAGGTGTTATGCATAGTTGGCCTATGACATTTGTCCTATATTGTATGAGTCATGCCCTTAGAACCTCAATTCTTCAGTTGTCTGAATGTAAGCAAAGAGCCTTTACAGAGGGGATCATATTTGGATGAAAGGATGGGGTGATAAATTATTAGCTTACAACACAAAGCAAAAACATAAATATCTGCTTATTAGTGGTCTGTGTCAGACTCATAAAATTAATTTTTCTCACCAAGACTTAAACACAAACTTCTTGTACAGTGTATATCATACAGCGGGCTTTGATATTTGTCAGATAAGTCTGTTATAATGCTCCAAGAAGCACTAACAGCACAAGCATAGCAAACATGGTGGTGTCCAGTTATGTGCCTTGAATCAGTGAGGTTAGCCTGGAAACTTTGATTTTGCCTTTGTCAGCATAACTCTCAATCAGTGTGTTTGATACGTGTGCATTGGATTGATTGTTTTCATCTGGAGGCTACATAATTAGTTAAATTGGATGCGCATCATATTGTCACAAATACACATTGAAACTGGGAAACATTTTCCTGATGTTCTCAAACTATCCGGAGCTAGGTATCCATCTGAAGCCAAGCACTCAACTTGTGGTATGGATGGCATTTTGAGCCCATGTTGAAACCTTGTTTATTATTTGATCTTTCTTCTTTCTTTTCTTATAAAGCTCCATATTCCCAGTTCAAAAACAGAAGCTTTCCAATCGTAAGTTTGTACTTTCAGGCTGAATCCCTGATGACATCATTAGAGTTATTTTTATTGTTCCTTCAGACCGTCAGAAGACTACATAGTGATTCTCATGTGAAGTAAACTGAGCCTTGTGTCTGAAAGTGGTGCGATTCTTTAGGGATTGTGATTATGATTTCATTTTATTGCATGGAAGCTGTACCTGCTTCACACCAATATACCATTCAGACCGAGGTGGTCTATTTTTAGAATTGGTTATACAATATGTGATGCACTGTTTAGCATCAGACTTTGGGATACATTGTACAGTGCAGATACATTAAGAAAATTTAAAAATGATTCAAAATACAGAAGAAATCCACCTAGGATGCTGAGAATTATTGTGTTCAATAGATAAAATAAAACCCAGCAGACAAAAAACTTGAGAGATATAATGATACACACATTATAATCATGACTAACTTTATTTACTACATACTGTTATGTATGTAGTACATGAGTTTAAATTGCATGGAGACCAATCTTGTTTTGGTATTCAATACACAGTTTTTCAGTCCACGGGCAGCTTAGAACTTAGAAAGTGAATTTCCAAACCTCCAATAAGCTCAAGTGAGAGCCAAAAGGTCCAGTAGGTGACTTACACTCAGATACAACTGCCAACTGTGGAGGCCTGTCTAATTGGTGGGCGTTATTGCTGGGGTCCAGGGTTCTTCCAATCAGTGAAGGGATGGAAGGAGATTAGCTCACTTTCTGGTCTAGTCCTTACTCCAACTGTCTGCACAGGATCTGACATCTCATCCATTTCACTAACACACACACACAGACATACACACATACACAAAATAGAAGAGGGCCAGACAGAATGAGAGCATTTAATTGCACAGGGATGAAGTCATCTTCATTTCCCTTAGGGACAGAAAGACAGACGAGGGAATAAGAATGACTGGCAGTAAGAGTGTGTGGTGTCACAGTAAGATGTCTGGTAATGTGCAGGGGCTCAAACTGCCGCTTAAACACACCTCCAGGCCTGACGAGGGGGTGATAGAAGCCCAGCTTAAGTGCTGGTTTCTGGAAATGGTGTGTGTGGGTATATATGTGGTGTTGTTGCAAGAGAAAGTTTGATGTTTGATGCATGATCATCAGATGAATATTATTAAGCAGATTTCTTTCCTTCCATCTTTTTAGCATCCAATTACTGAGTGATCAAACACGCAAGGTGCCCCCAAACACAAATAAAAACACACACACACTTTGATCAATACTGCTAATCACATCAGAAAACAGCAAACAACCTGGTCTGTAAGCTCTGTGTGGGGATTACACAGAGTGAAGGGATCACATAGAAGAGGTGTGTGAGGGGTCTTGGGTAATCAATACGACTTGAGGCAATTAGAAAGAGGTGAGTCTTCAGACGGAGACAATGTCATCCTGTCTTTCTCTCTTACCCTCTCTTCATTGAGAGCTCCATTAAATATCCGCTCAAGGCCCTTTGTACAAGAGGGCTCCCAAAGACCCCTGACACGTTTCAACACCACTAGAGTTGTAAATAAACTTTGAGACTAGAAGCTCAACTCACTATCCCTTAGCAATTTTCTGCCGTCTCCAGGGGGCTGTCAGCTACTCAAGTGTTTGCAGAAGTTCATTTCCTTGTTGTTGACTATTAGCTTACACTTACAAGTATAAGCTAACACTAAATTTAAACCCAAAAGCTTCTTTCTAGAGGTACTTATCAACTGGATTCCTGCCAGCACATCTTTACATTGCAGAAGGATGTTACTTGCAGACTTCAAAATCATCTCTGGCAACTTGTTTTTAATATGACTGTGTACATTAGACATATTTTGCTATTTTATTGTTTTATGTATTTTTTTTAATTATTTTTGTAATTATTATTATTGTAATTTTAATATGTTTGTCTGAAACAGGTCTATCTTGTGAATGAGACATTGGGTCTCAATTACAAGAGAGACCTGTATAAATAGAGGTTAAATTAAAAAAAAAAAAAAAAAGACTGCCCAGTTAATATGTAAAAATTGTAATCTAAGTTACGATTTTCACTTTCGACAAACAACAAAACGGGATAAAATTATTGTTTTTTTTATTTAATGTTTGCCATAAAAACTCTTGGGTATACTGTTATTTATAGTTTTGCATTTCCCCCCTTATCTAAAAACAAACTCACTCGCTGTTTAGTGTAGTTTTATTCAAAGAGTCTTCGGTCAAAAACTATAACACTTGCACTTTTTATGTAGTTAAACCAGTGGAATGATTTGTCTTCATAATTCATCCAGTCTGCTTTCAGGAGCATTAGTTTTCTGACTCTTGCCCTGTATACACAGCAATGTGGGCACATTGCTATACCTTTCAATCTGCACTCACAGACATCCCAACAAGGACCTACTTGAAACACGCTTAATAGAAAAAAATGAACATCAGTCAGGTCATAATTCTCCAGGAGGGAAACTCTCGTTCTTTTTTTTACATTTATGTGGTATTGGCCCAGCAACTGTAGCTGTTGATTATCACAGCTGTGCTTCGTGAGGTAAAGAGAGCCATCCACAAGTCATAAGGTAAGTTGTTCAATCAATGATTCCACTACTGTACATATTGAAGTATCCTTGGGCAAGATCTTAAAACCTGAAGTTGTCCCCTGTGCATCTGCTGGGGCAACTCGGGCATTGCATGGCCTGCAGGCCACATCTGGCCAATTAGAAAATCGGAAAATTAGGTTTCAGATGTAAATAAGTATACACCATGTATGTCCCATTTCAGCTGCTAATCATAACCTTAAGACCACTTACTGTTTTATGCGATGATGAAGGGAATCAGATAAATCGCTTTGTTGCTTTTATTTTGAAGGTGATTGCTCTTTCCTTTTCAAATTTACATGCATACATGTGTGCAAGAGAATGCTGGTAGTGCAGAA